CCAAGGGCCCTTGAATTGTGGTGGTTGTGGTGGTGGTGGTGGGGGGGCCCTCGCGAACATTTTGCCCAGGGGCCCACACAACCCATAATCCGTCCCTGTGTACAGCGCACACTATAGTCTATAACAACAAATGAATTTAAATAAATGAGCGTGTTGTCTGTGCAACAGCGCGACAAGCATTACCTGTCCTTTTATGAACTGCACAAGTAGTGGTGGTCATTAACTGCTATAGCTAACTGGGTAAGGGTGTTACAAGGGGGTTTGTAGCTCTGTCCACCGTTTTAGGGAACATGTTTTGTTTTAAAGTAAGTTACAGGACTTTTCCCTTCTTTTCTGGAGGGCTTTTATTTCACTAAAAACGATCTAATATGGATATCCACATAATTCCATATTAGATTCGTCATGAATGTGAGTTGTTGTTATTCAGCCTGTTCTATCTTTTTTAACTTTGAGCACCCCACCCCTTTAAACGTCTCTGCACGGCCCTGGTATAGAATATACTGTATATAAAACATCTACATAAGTTGATGCATCCATTTTCTGTATCTGCTTGTTTTATTCAGGGGTTGGGGGGACCTAGAGCCAAAGCAGGCAGAGAATAACCCAGAATGGGAGGGGGAGAGAATAACTCATTGCAGGGCACACACACACACTCTCATTCACCTTAGCCTGTGTTTGGACTGTGGGGGGGGGGGCATCCCATGATGACACAAGGAGGATATGCAAATGCCACACACATGGAGCCATGGCAAAGACTCAAACCCTGGTCCTAGAGGTGTGAGACAACAGTGCTAACCACTGCACCACCATACCACCCCTGGCGTATTGTATATTTTGCAAAATTGTTCTTTGTTTTGTTACTCTGACTAGGTATCCAGGTTCATGAACAACTTTCTACTGGCTTTTTACTGCGTTGTACTGTGATGTCCTCTATCAGGAGTACAGCTGTACAGCTGAGTATATGATACTCATAAATGTCTGCTAAGCCTACTGTATGTACTGTATGCACTGTAACTGTAGGCACTGTAAATAAACATTCTGCAGTTGCTGCTCCCAATACATCTAGTCAATATCCTACTAGGTCTGGGTAATATCTGTCACTGTTGTGTTGCCATTAACCCAGATGCTACATCAATCACTGTACAGCTATTACCTCATGATTCTTATCTTACAGGAGTTACTGTTATCAGGGATTTGAAGGAATTGTATAATCTGGTAAAGCACAAGACTGAAACTATTCTATTTAAATGATAAACCATATTAACAGCTGACTGTGTATCCAGACATTTTCCATAACTGCTTATGCACTACAGGGTTCACATGAGTGGGGGATGTGTATGAGGGGGGGATTCCAGCAAGAATAATGGAATAATATAGATTTGGCGTAAGATTTCTAGCGAGAGTGTGGGAGTCACTCCAGATGCATGAGAGCTGGCAGCACGGGTGGTGTGTTTACAATCCTCCCCCCACCGATGGTGTTCGATGTGTGCTGGTGGCTTCTCCTGTCCGTGCCACTGCTCGTGCACTCTGGCAGTCGCACACAATAAACGCGCTGTCTGTCATCTGTGCTTCTGCGTATCCACTAAAGCAGAATTCACTGCGCTGACATTGCACCATACCTACTGAAGAATGCTGACCTGTATCAGACAAACATTGTATCGTATTCAACAGTTATTTTTTTTCACGGTTTTTGTGAAACTGTACCCTTAACAGTGTTAGTCTTATTTTAAATGGTGAAATCTTTACAATTATTTTGAAATCTTTCTTATATTGCATCCTTTCACAGCGGGACTATTGCATGTGTGCTTATTACCATTTACGTTGCACCCGCCACCCCCACCAGGCCCAGTTCGGTCCTCTCCCAAGTTCCTCCCACGCCGCTGCATGTAACAAATTATCTTTTGCTTGCACTTTGTGTTGAAAAGGCTGAGTGCCACCAAAGACGTGGTATTTTTGGTTTCACACGGAAGTGAAGTTTGTGGATCATTAACATGAAGGTACTTGCTGTCATGTTTCGACTGAATTTCTCTCACAGCTGAAGCAAAGAAACGAACAGCTTCACTTAGCTTCAGCAGTTGCAATAGCAATGGAAGTAGCCTTACAGGAGGCCAGGATATAGGCCGCCCT